AAGAAAACATTGGTGAATCCCAGAAATCAAAATAACAAAATAAGCCTAAGCCAAAAATCAGAGAAAATTTGTTGGTATGTCACCCAATGTTTGGGCATTTTTTCACATAAAATGATTTATAAAATGAAAATGAAAAAAGATATTTCTTCATCGGTGAGTAACATTTGGTGGCTGTACGAATCTTCTGATTTCTGGTTTTGAGTGTAAGCAAAATGTCATTTTGAGAAAATAAAATGTTTAACTATAATGGCTATTGAATGTTGGTGCCTGGTTGGTTTTTCAGAATTTTTACTACTACAAAACAAATCAACATATTTTGATATGATATGGACTTACTTACTTATGGACACCTTACTTATTAATCTTTATGGTTATGCCAAATATTGGGGAACTTATACAAGAAAGTGTATCAATTTTGGCATGGAGCTGATGGTATCAGAGGCTATATTCCAGCTCTTTTAGGGACCTCTTTATTTTTCAGTAAATCCACTACCATCCAACAAGACTTGGAGTGCAGCAGAGGAAGACTTTGACTGAATTCAACTGATGATTAAAGGACCAGTGTGTAGGATTTAGTGGCATCTAGCGTTGTAGCTGCAGGTTACAACCCCCTCACCTCACCCTCCCATAAGCCAGTGTGCAGTACAAATTACAGTGGCTGCAAAACTCACAAGAAACACAAAAGCCGGTGTTTGGTTTTTCCATTCTGTGCTACTGTATAAACATGGCGGTTCAACATGTGGACCATGATTCTCTGTGTCATAGCATTTTGATCAGTGTAGCTGAAGGAAAGCTAATTAAATGTCAGTAATACCAGTATGTAGAGGTGTTCTGGGAGAACTTAAAATCCTATCCAAACCTAATTTACAGTAATCATCAAATATCTCACCTTAATGAGTGCATACTCCAACCTGTCCTCCACACTTCCTTCTCTCCACTCATCTGTCTGAACCACCTTCTTCTCTCCTTTCACATTGTCCTGTGAACAGCAGATTTTGATTCAACAACCAAACTAAAGCAACAAAAATCTGGTCTATGTATGTGTGTACCTGTGCATAGGCCAGTAGTTTTTCAGTAGCATCTGGGTCTCTGTTCCAGATGAGGTTTTCACACAGTAACAGCAGCTGTTTATCTATGTCATCATAGACTGGCAGGTTCCCAGCATTCACTATCCCCATATCCATACCATCCTGAAACGTGACAGAGGACACACATTGTGTGGCATCAGCAAATTTTGATTTCGTTTTCAACCTAGTCTTTGTTTAAAGTTGTTTTAGTCTGGTTTTTGCTGTAACTTATCTTGATTTGAATGGTTTTATTCTAGTTTTACTTGACTTAATCTACAGAAAATGTTGTCGACTAAAATGGGTGTTTGGGTTACAATTAATCAAAATATTATTGAAATCGCAATATGGCCAAGTGAAATATCAAATTGTATAAGCTGCAATTTTTTGATAGAAGGTAAAACGTGTGACAAACAGCATTATAATGAAGTACTGTAATGTTGCAGAGATGTCTTGGTCTACAAATCTTGTTCTCTAGATTAAAGATAACATGTTTGCTTGGTACAGATCCCAAAGAATTGCACATCATCATGATTTTAATAGTTTACCTGAAAATTAATGAATGAATGTAATATAATTTGGGGTATTTCCAGATCATTTACAATAAACCACACTTACATATTTCTTTCTTTGAACTCTGTTGCTCGTGTTTACCTTGATAGCATGGTAGAGAAATGCTCCGTGCATAGCTTCTCTGATGGTCTCCATCCCTCTGAAGGAGAAAGACAGGTTGGACAGACCTCCACTCACTCTGGCTCTTGGTAATGTCTCCTACACACACACACACAATTAATGCTTGTCTATAGGTGTGTGTATTTGTGCATTTGGGGCCTCTAGCAGAGTGTAAAAGGTTTCCCCAATGACGATTAATAACCTGGTAAATTCAGTTTAAATTGAAATTACAAGGCAGGACAAAATAACAATTGTTTTTTAGCACTCTAATAGCCTTTTAAATAATTATTTGGAGAATAAAGAGGCTTTGAACAAGTAAACAGAGAGAACAAACAGCTCCATGGGGCAAAGAGCGGAAATATGCTCCTCTCTGCTCACATGCTCTGGGACAGACACAAACTTCAAATAATGGATAATGAGGATCGGTTGAATTTGCATTAATTGTTCTTGGGACTAACAGGTGCATTACCTTGATATGTTTGGTGGCTCTGATGAAGTTGACAGCGTACTCATTGTGTTCCTCCATGCCTGTACCAATGGTGAGGATGTTGGGGTCAAAGATTATGTCGTTTGGGTCAAATCCCACTTTGCTAACCAGCAGTTTGTAGGCCCGAGTGCAGATCTCCACTTTACGGCCTGTATCTGTGGCCTTGAAAGGACAGCAGACTTGTGAGCACATATGATTGTGTTATGTGTGAGTGTGCGTGTTTGTTTGCCTCCTCACCTGTCCCTCTTCATCAAAAGCCATGACCACCACAGCTGCTCCGTAGCGCTTCACAGTGGCAGCTCTGAGCAAGAACTCCTCCTCTCCTTCCTTGAGACTGATACTGTTGACTATACCCTTCCCCTGACAGCATTTCAACCCGGCCTCAATCACTGAGAAGTTGGAGGAGTCAATACACAGAGGAACCTGGGGAGGAAAGGGAGAGGCTCAGGGCCTCTTTCTTGACTTTCATTCATAGGTTAGTTATTAACTGGTTCATATACTTAACAAACCATTTTCCAATGTAAGCACACAACTGAAGATGATAGGTAATGTTGTAAAAGCCCCAACGTTGAAGTGGAAACATAATATTCTAATTAAAAAAAACTTTGTATTCACTGGCTGGCACCACACAAACGCCCCTGATTCAAAGGGATGCACTACTCATTTGGGCGGCAGTCAGATTTGACAAATTACAAGACTACGGATATACAGCCATGATAACAGCTCTGTAAAGCTGTACTTAGGCACAGCTAAATGCTTTGAGCTAAATGCTAACATCAGCATGGTAACTTGCTCACATGACAATGTTAGCATGCTGCTTAGTACGCACAATGTTAACCATGTTCACCATCTTTGTTAGCATGTTAGCACGCTGACATTAGCTAATTAGCAAGTAGACTACATTTAGGAGTAGGCTTACAGTAAGACGTTTCTCTTTGATACTTTGATAAAGCTTATAGTTAGGGCTGGCTCAGGTGAGTCCTGAACGATCCCTTAGTTGTGGCCTAGACTGCCAGGGGACTTCCCATGATGCAGTGAACTCCTCTTTCCTCCTCTCCCTGTCTATTTGTACACATTCATGTCCCATTAATGCATGTTACTAACTTAGCTTCTTCTCTAGAGTTTTTGTGCTTTTTGTCTTCCAAGTTTCCATGGATCATGGTTGTGCCTTCTGCCACGCCCACTGATATTATTATTAGTAGTAGTAATATTAAAATTTTTATTATCATAGTTGTTATTGTAGTTGATATCAGTAGCATCTCTATGTCTTTTTGTCTCAACATCCAATCAATTCCACTGGCTTTTAATGTTTTACCCGTGCAATGTCTGGTTCAGAAGCAATTAGGTTACAAAATCGGGCCATAGCTGTTGGCCCCTCCAGCATCCCCTCATCCATGTTTATATCCAGGACCTGGGCCCCCATCTCCACCTGGGCCTTAGCAATGCTTAGAGCCTCCTAGACAACAAACAGAGAAGCACATACTGCATAAACACATATGCAACCTAGAACTTTGACTGCAATTTCAGAAAATTACAAAAGAAATAATAATAATTATTTTACTTAAAAACTGTCTCACCTCATAGTTTCCTGCCATGATCAGCTTGGCAAACTTGCGTGACCCAGCCACGTTGCAGCGCTCACCAATGTTAACAAAGTTGGTGTAAGGGCCAATCTTGAATGGCTCTAGACCTAGAAAGGAGAAAGACCATTGACATTAACATCCTGCAGTTACATTAGCCAAAATTTATTCAGCACCACTGTTTTTAAACCACTTTTTAAAAATAAAAACACAAACATTGTCAACAACATGTATGAAACATGTTTTGAATCTGCTCTAAGCTTGCCATCATTTCAAGCTGCTAGAAGGTTTTTAATAGGAAACGGCCAAATAGGAAGTGTTTTTTTAAATATTATTTATAATATATTTTTGTTCTTTTATTGCCTTTAATTGATAGCGACAGCTGAAGAGTGACAGGGAAAGGAGAAAGGGAGGCAATGATGCAGCAAAGGGCCACAGGTTGGATCCATGACCGCTGCAGTAAGGACTCAGCTTTGGTACATGGGGAACCAGCTCTACCAGGTGAGCTAGCAGGAGACCCAAGGAAGTGATTTCTTGACAGTAAGAGGAGTCAGAGGAGCAAAGTGGTGTGTATAACATGACTGCTGTTTAAGTTGACTCGTGACCTTCTGAAAATCTGTCGTACTAGACTACACACGAGGCTGATAAGGTTAAACACTGAGCACCCAACATATCATAGTTCCAATTTGTTAATGAAGGCTAAGGTTTAGAAGTAAATCTGTCTCCTTCTAAGAATGCATTGTAGGTGATTATTGAGTGTCATTGATTTAGGATAAGTATTAGACTTAAGTAGGCATAGTTCCTTGCTTTGAACCAATACCCAATTGGATCTTCACACATGTTTAGTTAGATAAGTTATGACCATATCTGGGACACTAGTAGGTCTTGTGGGTCTAAGTTTGTGTTAAATATCACCCTTCATGAGGTAACCTTCAGAATTAGGTTGGCATCTATCTACAGTGACTCTCCTTGTACTGATGGTCTTTATTGTCCTGGATTGAGCTTAAATACTGCTGTGTGTGGCTTTAAGTTCTCCAAGGAACTTGATCAATTTCGAGTTAATCACCTAGCATACCCTAACCCCTCCTTCACAAAAGTGAACACAAAGTTTTTTATACTGAATTGATCAAGAGATAGGTAAAGAAGAAGAAAGTGTTTGCACCAACACCAAAATGGCCGACTTCCCTGGGTTTAGGGTTATGGGGTCGCAAGAGCTTTTTTGTAACGTCTCGGCATGTTTCACGTGCCTACCCGAGTTCGTACATATCGGTGAAACGTCGGCCGGGGGCTGGCTTGTTTGTAAAAACCCTGTTAGGGGCGCTGTCAAACACCGACAAACGAATCTTTGGTATGTGAGGCTACTGGGCACCAAGTCTTACATGTGCCTGTGAATTCCATATCATAACTATTACGGTTTCCGCACATGATTTACCATGCCACCCAGGAGCGCCACACTAGTGTGCAGATCGTTGACCATTTCATTAGTGAAGCTCCAGGGAGCATTGGGCAAGAACTACCAAGTTTCATTTTAATCAACACGTGCCGATGCGGAGATATAAACTTCTTCCATTTTAAAGAGCGCCCACCTTGTAGCGATGGGCCTGAAATTGTGCACGATGACCTTAAGGACAGACAACGGAAACATATGAGCAATAACTTGGGTGTCAATGGACATGACCAATTGGTGGAGAAATGGTCCCACTTCCTTTCTTTGACGAAAAATGTAGAGGAAGTCAATTTTATAGCATGCTTATTATTTTTGAAATATCAACCAATTCTTCGAATTACTCTTTTTTGCCAGGGACGGTCCCAGATGGCTACGATGAGAAACAATTTCGTGCAAATCGACAACCAGCGTATTAGGAGAAACACGAAAAAGTGGGCGTATATTTTGGACCCATTTCTCTTGCGAAAAAAATTCTAGGCGGAAGTGGCGTGGCCTATATGGGGGATTTCAGCTCCATTCACCGAATGCGAGTGGATATAAGGTTTTTGAATGTGCGACAAACTATGCAGAAGTATAAGCCGAAACTGAGTTTTTATGATAGTAGCCGCCATCTAGTGGCTAACCCGAAAGCGACCCATAGAATATAAAATTTTTCGCCATGACTGACATGTGCGCCAAGTTTCATGAGTTTTCGAGCACGGGCAAGCCTCCAAATATGCGTTTGTTTAGGAGGAAAAAGAAAAAGAAAAAGAATTCCTTCAATTACAATAGGGCCTTCGCACATTCAGTGCTCGGGCCCTAAAAATAAGGTCTGCCAAATAAGGGCCTGGTTCTTCCTGTAGCATAGGTAAATAAATAAGTTTAAGAAATTTCTGTATTTCAAGTTTTCTGATAAACATCCTAAATTCATTAATTTATATTCATTATCAACCAGAACCACCAGAAATGTACTAGTTAAGACATGAAATTCTCACTCAGTACTCAGGTTTTAATACCTGACAGCAGCAAGTAGTCTTGATAAACATCAGCAGCAGGAACCCTTGGCTGGCAATGTTTGACTGCTTCAGATATGGCTCTGTATGAAGAAGGAGGGGAGGGGAAAATATTTTCAAATTTTCAAACTTGCATGAAATTTAAGGCAAACATGTTCTTGTCAGAAATATGACAGTGACCTGATGTGTCCTGGAGTGGTCCCACAACAGCCTCCCACAATATTCACTAGTCCATCCATAGCAAACTCCTGCAAACAAAGGTTAGAAGAAACTGAGTTGCAGCAATAAGGCAGCCAGGATCAGCTTAACTTAATTAGCACACATTTTTCCAACTTCTATTTGTCCTGGGTGGTCCTTTGAGGCCAGTTTCTCTTTTTCAAGACAATTGTTGGGAATTACATTCCATAATCCAACATAAAACCAACAGAGAAAGGAAGAAAGAAAGAAGCACAAAATGTCATCCATGGCCTGTCCTTTAAGTTTACCATCATTCAAAGTGATAAATTCAACTAAAACAATGTGCCATGTTCTCACATCTGACTGGTTCCTGTTGCTAGGATTTTTTCAGGAGCATAAGGGCCATGATATCCCCCTCAATATCAACTGTTTCTCCACATGGTGATTTTAGCTATATTAGCAATGATGATAATCTTAACATCAAAACAAAAACATAATAGAATAGAATAGAACCTTCAAATTAGAAGCTGTTACTTGTGGAGTTTCGTCATACTCTCCAAACGTGTTCGGAAGACCTAACAGAACAAAGATAAGACAGACAAAGATCATTACATAATCAAAATGGTGCAACATAAATAAGGCCACAGTTTCTCACAGTCACAGTCATTTCAAGTTAACTAAAGGGACACATTTAGACAGTGTGTTAACATGCACTGCCCCAAAACTTTAAAGTAGCATTAGACTGCATTACATTCAAAGCTAGTGAATTTGTAATACATAGAAATATATAGTAAATCATGGCTTAAATTTGGAGAGTTATTTGCACCGTATAGAGGTCAGAGCACTCAGGTATAAAGTCTGTGTGCAATGGAACTATTATGGTGTTTAGTGATGATGTATAATCAGAAAAAAATAATAAACTGATTTTACAAATCTATTACATGTATAATGCAAAAATAAATTCAAATTCTAACAAAAAATTCCACTATTGAATTTCCTTATTCTATTTTTTTAATGACAACATTTAAAATGCAATTATACGGATAATTTCTTAAATCTTGCTTCCACTTTGTGATGACTTAAAAAATACTAAATCCCCCACACTAGTCGTTTCATTAATCTCCAATTGATTAAATATCCAATTTCTAGCGGCTTTTTCAAAACAATTATTAATTAGTTATTGACTGTAATGCTGCTAAATATATGTTGTGAGTGTGGGTTACCTGCATTGGGATAGCAGATAACAAAAGCTGTGGTGCTTTTTCCTATAGCCTCAATGAACGGCCTCATCTCTATCGCCCCTAAGGCACAATTCAGACCAATACTGCAACACAGAGAGGGAGTAGTGGAAGTCATGGTTTACAGTTATTATCAGAACTCTAATGTCACGCCACTGTTTTCTTATATAGTAACTCACCATAGAGGTTTAACGTGGGATACACTCACTACAAAGGCTTCTCCTGTCTGACCGGACAGAGTCCGTCCGCTCCGGTCAACGATGGTTCCTGAGATCTATGTGGGAGTGGGACAAGACGGCAAGTAGGGTATTAAAATAACTAAACCCTCCATAACACATTCGTCCTTGGTAAGCCCCAAGACATCTGAGATAGTGGGCATGAAACTTGATTTATAGTTGCTTTGTGTAATTTTAATTGTGGAAAATATAGTATAAATACTATGATAATAATAATATAATAAAACACATTTTTCACTTACATATAGACATGCATTTATACATTAGCTGCATATGTGCAAACCGAACAACTACAACCACTCCACCCCATGCATAAACCGAACAATTATGATGAGATTATGAACACAATATCGTGGACATACAAATATAGGTCTTCTTTCATTGCTCTTTTCAAACAGCAGGTCAATGGCAAATAAGGCAGCCTGTAGGAGGAAACACACATTGATAGAGACATCAATCATTGTACATACAACATCAGGTTACATAACCTACGAACAGCAAATACCCTTTACTAATTGGTGGCAGGTGTCGATTAAAATTGTACAACACAGGCCCTCTTATAAACAATTTCATCAAAGGTTTAACCATTACTATAAAGCTCTCCACAAGGACTAATACTATATATAATGTATGCAAGTGTATAAATTAACGAGGAATGAGGTAAGTGTCTTATATAGTGCCTAAAACAGGTCTGCTTAAATTGAAATCAACACCAATAACTGTGGCTTCAATGAGGTACTGCCCCCAAATGTATCATAATATCTTTCCATGAACAATCTCAATGAAGATTCTGCCATACTAAGCCAAAATAGTTAGTCAAAAACAGTATCTTAGGGTATCCCTTGAGGCAAATTTGTGGTTGATGATAATGGGATATAAAATGACTTGATTTTAAGCCATAGAAATTTATAATTTCAAAGGGAAAAAAAGCCTTTTGAATGTGAAGTTACAATAAAACTCATCTAAAAACCAAACAACTCAACTATTGCGCTAAAGCAAGAGAGCCAAATCCAGTGAATGGCCACGGCTAGCTTAGGCCACATTCACTTACTTTTCCCAGCTAGCCGTTTCCTGTTGTTGAGCACAAGTGGATCACTTTTGAGAAACTAATACAATGGTAATTTAGTTTGTTATCCCTAAACCAGCAGCTAAACTCAGTCTTAGAGAATAAAAACTATAACACAAGTAACTAGCTTAGTTTAGCAGATTACCAGTAACTGCTATCTCAGCCTTTGACTTTAGTAAAATTCATGATTTGGTGTGGTTAATTTGATTAAATCACATATGTAAATGTATCAAATTGACATTACATCCTCTTACAGTATACCCAATCAGACTGAAAACGTTAAACCCCTTCCTCTAAACTTAGCTTTTTGAGGATTTGAAGATTCAAATTGGTGAGATGAAAAAATAATTGTGATGCTAATAGTTTTTGGCTTCCCTAAATCAGAAAATACGGCAAGAGATATGAGACCTTATTCTGCAGTTGAGTGGGTTATATTTCACTTTTACAATGAAAAGGAAATAGGCCTTCTTTTGCACAGTTTATATTTACCTCAGAAAAAAAAAAAAAAGTATAAAGAAAATTAAGAGAAAATATATTTTGTAGACTAGTAATAAAGGAATTCATTTCAGACACAATTTGTTTTGTCATGAGAAAATCATTTTGTGAACCCAGTATTGTGTATTCTATTGAATTGTAAGTGTATCAAGTGAGAGCTACCTTAGCATTGGCAGTGTCAAAGATGGTTTCAACCAGAAGGATGTCTGCGCCTCCATCTAATAAACCTCTGACCTGTTCTGAGTAGGCCTCTACAAGTGCATCAAATGCTGGGAAAAACACAAAGACACACACAAACATTACATTGCTATTATACTGCATGTTGGTAAATGGTAAACGGTAAATGGACCTGTACTTGTATTGACACATTCACTCAGTGATGGCAAAGCCCATCAAATAGAAACGAACTCATTCATACACATTCACACACCGATGCACAGCATCAGGAGCAATTTGGGGTCCAGTATCTTGCTCGGGGATACTTCGTATTCGTATACTAACCCTAACCCTAACCCTCATTTTGACCGCTGTGTGTCCAATGCTCATTGATGCAAGTGCGGAGTGAATGCTGGCCCATGTGGTCCAATACAATAAAAGCCAAGCTACTGTAGCTAAAGCTGCTGAAAAAGTAAATTCTGTTTCTGATAGAAAGGTGTCAGAACACACAGTGAATCACAGT